GATATTCAAGTCGTCGAAGAGGATGGGTTTATTACGGGCTAGTGTGAATATGCCCAAGAAACGTCCGAGGTTGCTTAGTGACGATCGAGACTCTGTGTCGTCTATGTCCGTTCTTATGCTTCGTAGGATAGCCTGCAATGTGTGCATGTTTAAACACGAAAAAGCATCAAATCACAAAAACACTGCATCATGAGAAGAAGAAGAAGAGGTACCTACCTTAATACTGCGTATCAACTCGAACAGGACACGTGGGCGGACGTCAGGAAGATTGACCTGAACTTCGTTGATGACGGAGGCGACGATGTGGTGGGAAGACGCTTCCAACGTAATGCACTTGCATACCAGGTAGTAAGCGAACCAAGGCAGCAGACACTGCCGCTGCTGCCGCAGCAATCCACAAAGCTTCTCCCATTTTTCTTCGACATTGGTTATCGAGACATTGTTAAAGATGGAGTCAATTCTATTGCAGATGACTTTTTTGAAGACCTCATATGGAATGTACTCCTGCCTTACAATTTTGGGTGCCAGCTGCTCATTTTTCAATAAATGTGAATTTTGCAATTAGCAAAGTTGAAGCCAAAGTTAACAACCAAATATAAAACAATTGCGAAAGCGTATTTAGAAGTTCGCTGGGTGTTTTAAAAAATTCAGCGGTTCCAGTCGACAAAGAGCAAGTGACTTGATTTCGGGTGGCGTAAAATTCAGCCGATTTATTAGTACACAATTGGCACTAGTGTACAGAAGCATAAGTAGTCAGTTTATTTGCGAGTGCTTAATATTGATGTCCAAAACGAGCTTTCAAGTAGATAACCCGATTTCGTGTTCGCTAATGCCTGCTCACGATACTCATTCACTGGTCACCTTGACTTAATTCCGGTCTTGTAAGGATTCACGATTTGAAATGCCGATAGGACGTGGGAAAGTGACCCTTGACCACCGGTTGTACCCGAGGTGGTAGCACCTAGGTAGCAGTCGCCGACACACGCAACGAGGGCACTGATTATCGTGAGGCGCTGGCCGTAGAGGGAAATTGTGGGAAACAGTGGCTGCTGCTGCTTGTGCTGATGTCGCTTTGGTGGCTGCGTGTGTTGCTAAAGGAAGGAATTGCCAGTCAACTTTATGGGTGCAGTAACAAGTGTCTGGATTGCTTGCATCTACTGATGTGTAGTGCAAAGCTACTGAGTGAGTGAACGATGTTTGAGTGCCATAGAGCAAGACTCGCAAGTGCAAGTCGTAAGATCAAACAAGAAGAACATGTACATTTTGCATTGTCTATGCGAATTAAATTAATGCCTAAGAGTAGCATGATAGATCAGTTCTTTGAGAGGGGACCCAATTCATGGCTGGTCCGTTGAGGAAAGATGTGAATTTAGGAGACAGATTAGATGAAAATTTATGTGTGCAGCCACGATGTGTGACGGAGTAGTGTCTATGGAGTACAATGACGAGGTATGCGGTTTGAAAATTGTGCGAGTAATGATTATTCAATCTAGAACAAGCACACGATCGTATTCCTTGGTTTCAGCAGCTAAAATGTGACCTGTAATTCGATGCAGTCAAGACTCAAGACCGTTCGTCCAACCTTCCAACAGCGCCGCCAATGAACTGTTTGGCTGGATTCAGGTCCGACCCGATTAGATTTCTGAAGATCATGCGTTATGGAGAGGCGAACAAAAAGATTGGTGAAAAGTTGCTGATGCATCGCAGTCAAGTCAAAACATTGAAATTATTTTTTGCAGACAAATGATGCGAGCCACACGCATTCATAAACCACGCAAGCTTCAGTTGGACCGACCTTCTTAAACTCTTGCGGTGAGCCGATTCGCCATGCCATTAGAGCTTCAACACGAGAGAAGCATTCAAGGGAGTTTGTTACGACGCCTGATTTCCACGTGTGTTTCCGACTACCGAAATCTTATCGACATCGGTCTCTTATCAGTCACACAGTGCTCGCTTCACAGCGCATTCACATCGCTTTGGTTTTGCATAACCCACTCCACCCATGATATGATTTCAACTTTGTTTTGTGCGCAAATAATCCATGTCATCATAAAAAAGCTAACCTGTTTCATGT